GCTTCCCTCCAGCCTGACTGACCCTAAGCCTCTGTACTGTACTGACAACACTAGAGAGGGGCCTGTCTGCACCCTCAGGCTGACCAGGTAAAACCATTTAAAAAAATAAAGTATTCAGGCCAGACACCGGAGCCTCACTCAGGAGCAGATATCAGGAAGATTGCAGTTTGAAGCCAGCCAGGCAAATAGTTCGAGAGACCCTATCTGGAAAAATCCCATCACAAAAAAGGACTGGTGGAGTGGCTCAAGGTATAGGCCCTGAGTTCAAGCCCCAGTACCACACACACACAAAAAAATTCAGAGCCAATGTTTTTTGATTTTTAAAAAAGTTCTGCTTCCTCATCACCATGCAGTTTCACTTTGTTTTATAAAAGGAAAGGATCTTTTTCCTTCATCTTTGAAGCCAGAGTTTCAAGCCCAAGGCCCAAACTCCTGGGATCCCACATCAAATTTGGCACTCACCCCTACACACCAAATGACAACATGGTGAAGGCAGAGAAAAGATTATTATGGCTTAAGCAAACAGCCATGTGAAGAAGCAAAGTAAAACACATGAGCTTTAGATTTAAATAGGCAAAGAACTGGAGTGAAAGTGCACAATGATTAAACAGTTCTGGTCAAAGTATGGTTTGATCATTATTTCAGTCCTTGTTTTGGGAGGGGTTCTGGAGAAGTAATTACACTGTCATCACTCTAGGAGAGCATTCTGATCAGGAGCAAGGCATTGTTGCTTGGCAGGTGGTCTGTCCTGCAGAGGCTCTGTTGTTCCTTTCTTTGGGGGCAGTTTCCTCAATCCCTCCTCATAAACATGTTGTCAGTAAGTCTTGTCCTTTCTGGATCCCAAGGTGGCTGCAAGGTGAATGGCTCAGAACAAAGACAGATACAAAATGGAGGCAGGGATGCCAAGCCCTTCTTTTTTCAGTTAATTCATGGGTCCACATCAGTGCTTTTCAGCAAAAGCAGTTTAGGTACCTGTAACATTTTTGGAACTTTACACTTGCCTCCCAATCCCCCACCCCTATCTATGGATACAATTTAATAATTCTGGTTTTTAAAGCTCTGTCTTATTCCCAATCAGATTTTTAGCACTCATGTTTTCCTTTAAATAAATTGATAGTAGTGGGAAAATAAATCTTCTCCATTAACCTCCACATTTCTCAAGTGTCCCCATATCTACAAAGAAAAGTTACCTTAGGGTGGCCAACTCAGTTTGCTGGGACTTCCCTGGTTTAAAAACTACCAAGTCCTGCCTTCTACTCACCCACTTATCCCCAACCTTTCTGCAGGGATTAAGGTGGACAATTGGTCACCCTGGTGTCACTGTGTTGACCCTCGTTGCCTCATCCTTGGTCACCCATCACAGGTCTGGTTGCCCTACAAAGAAGATTGGTTTGTAAAACCACAAAGTAGGAGTAGAAGAAGAAACACGGCTGTCAGCATATTTACTTCATATTACACTGGTTCTATTCTGCTTGTTAGTAAACCTGGCAAATAGGCCTTTCCCATCCACAGAAAAAGCAGTTGTCTTGCCTCTGGCATCGTGAAGGGGTCCCAGAACCTGACATGGAAATAGCTGACAGCAAGTCCTGCTGTTTTCCCTGTAGCTGGCAGGACTGAGTACCCCCAGTTACGTTGGTCCTAGATTCTGTTCCCAACTGGAAGACACCCCTAGTAACATTCACAAGTATGTTCATTTCCTTGAGGGCTAAACTGTAACTCCCAACTCATCAGCGGCTGCAAACCAGAGAAGTGTTACATAGAACCCTCTCCTTCCAGTGATTGTAAACCCTGACACATTTCACCCCCATTGAACCCTGAAGGGATGCTAACATTTAGGACACAGCTTCTTAAATTATGAATGGCAAAATAAATTTAGTGGGCCCCAGCCAGCATTAAAATAAGTATGAGTACGTCTTAAGTTAACTGTCATCTTGTAAAATTTGACTGGTTTTTGCTTTTGCTTTTTGATGGTACTGGGGATTGAACTCTTGGGGCCTTGCACTTATTAAGCAGGTGCTCTACCACTTGAGCCACACTCCAGTCCTACTTGCTTGGTTTTATATAGTGGTTCATAGTCCTTTCTTCAAGACTACTGGTTCCACATGTGTTTTAGAATTCAGAATTTTTCAGACTGTGCATTAGCACAGTTAAAATTGTTGCTACCAGTGAACAGAGGAAACTGCAAGGGACTGGAGTAGCAGGGATGTTGCTTATCTCCAAACCAGCATCTTGGCCTGGGTAACACTACAAACAACAAGAAACCAAATACTGAGGACAGGGAATGATGCCAAACCTTTTAATAAGCCTTCATTTTCTGCTAAGTAGTATTCCTTGCCATCTCTTTCCAAGATGTAGCTAAATTGAGAGTCATTCCTACTCTTTCTGGATGAAAACCAGAAAAGTCAGGTAACCCCCAAGCCCTGTCAAGACTAGGCTTTCTGAAGCCTTGCCCACTTTTTTGGTCGCCTCCATGAAATTGTCACCTCAGCATGATTCTTGGAAAGAAAAAAGATCAACCCTATTAAGAACAAAAACCTCTCCCACCAGCCAATCGGAAATTCTTCTTCAAATCTCTTCTTGTTCCACAGGTGGAATCTGAGTAGGCATGATGGCCATATCGCCCCACACACAGCACTGGGACCATCTGCAGTTGCTTCAGCTTTCTCTGTCCTTATGCCCACTATGCCAAACTCACCTGCTTTGCATTTTTTATATGAAACAAGACCTTTTAGCCTAACAGATTTCAGTGTCTCAGAACCTTAAATATGAAGAGTGGAAAAACCAAACCGAGTCCATCTGTTGCTCTGATAGCAGGCTATGAAGTCTGCAGAGTTTGCTATATGCTGAAGTTTGAACAGGAACTTAGCTTTTGAAATACAGATGTTTTGGTGAAAATTAGAGATTACACCATTACATTGTGAGGACTTCTTAACACTCGTTTTTCTAGTTCACAAAACCATATTCTGTTTCTGAGAATCCCTAGACAAGGACTCCCTGGGAATGACTGGCCCAGTGCAGAATTGCTGCACTCATCACACACTGTCCCATTTATTCCTTTCTCTCCAGAAGCTCCTGATCCCTGACTTCAAACACAAAAGAGAGGTTAAAAATCTGTAATTTTCAATTATAGTAGTAAAGTGCCATAGAAGAAAAAGATTAAGCCAAAGGAATGAATCTAAGTGGTGGAACTAAAGGGACTGATGTCAGTGTATGAGTTGCCTCTGAGAGCTGAGGGCAGAGCTCAAGTGGTGGAACACTTTGCCCACCAAAGCATGAGGCCCTGAGGTGTCTTTGAGTGGGAGGGTCTTCCCAAGGCCTGGAAGCCCCCGCTTTGACAGTAAGCCACACTTCTCCACAGGAGCTTATCTGCTCCTAAACTTCACACTAGGGTAGAAGGTTAAATAGCTTGTTCACACTTAAGTAAAAGGACCAAATCTCATCATGCATCTGATGCAACTGTTGAAAACATTGAGAGCTGAGCTCAAGTGGTGAAGTGCTTCATGCTGAGGTCCTGGGTTCAATACCCAGCACCAAAAAAAAAAAAAAAAAAGTATCAAAGCACAATTGAATGATACTCCCAGTATAGCTCAAAAAAAGCCAAATGAGATAAAATATACGACCATCCTACCATAGACTTTTAAATAAGATTGAGCCAGATACATATATCAAAACAAGCCAGAGATTACATTTAGCACAGGCAAAATGCTCCAACCAGTGGTCATGTTCAAAACAAATTTCAAGTCCCTTTTCAAGTTGAGAACTTACAACTTCGGTCTTCAGCAAGTGGTAACCTTAGCGCATGGTTTTGTGTGTGTGTGTGTGTGTTTTGTGGTATTGGGGTTTGAGTCGCACCTCTAGCTCTGGGTGTGTATTCTTGAAGAATTTTCTTTCAGCGTTTTTCCATCCTGGGTGTACCTTCTGTGGACAACAGAATAAGATTTTTTTTTAAAAGCAAAGTCTGTGAAGTTTCTTCGTTTGCTCCTATCTGGGTCAGCTGCTTCCATAAAATGGGGCTAAAGACTTGTAGAATAAAAGAAAAACAGTAGGATGTTTTAAGCATATGAATACACAAAAATGGAATAATGTCTTTAAAAACGGAGACAAAGGAGAGAAATGTTAAGAACAAAGAACGTGAATAGAAGCCACAAATGTCCCAAATTCCTTCTGAATATGACCAGGTAATGCCATCACAACATTAATGATAACGCTCACGTCAAGAATGACTGCGAAAGCTGGTGAGACAGGTAAATACTAACGGCAGGGCAGGGACTTTTACAATAAGCCTTTCGAAAGACCAAGATGCATCTAAGTAGTCGTCGACTGCGGTGGGCGCAGGGAATCCTAGTGTTCACTTTTTCCCTGTATTCTTTACCTGACGCTGTCCCCCATCCGCGGAGCACCTGCTATTTCAAACACATTGCATCTTCCCAAGCTGGCTTTAAAGAACTTCAGTTTTCAACAGCAGAGTGTCAACTGCCTAGCCACGCAGAAACCAGCGTAATGGGACAACAGAAAGGGGACTCCTCTCTTCTACTCCGAGCTTCCTTTTGAGGAGCTCTCCCAGCGGATCGCGGAGCCGCTTTGCAGTCCTGCCGCCGAGTCACTACACCGCCCTATGGTGTCTGGAGACTTAAAGGAACCAATGTGTCTTCTCTCTGGGGTTCCTGTTCTCCCACGGTCCTCAAACACGGGTGGCTTACTCTGATGGCGGCGGTCAAAGAAGGGAAGCTCAGCCGAAACGGAAACCCGTGAAAGCCCAGGGGCCGAACGGAGAGCACAGAAAAGGCTTGGAAGGAAACGACCGCCGCTCGGAGAAAGCCAACGCCTCCCCCAGTGCTCCCGCGGTGTGCGCTCCCGCGCCGCCCGCAGCCCGCTGTCCCCGCGCGCCCTCTCACGCCCCCGCGCGCCCAGCCGGGGACGCTCGTCCCGCGCGCTCCCTCCGCGCGCGGGGGGCGGAGCCGCCGCGGGGGCGCGCGCGCGCACGGGGCCGCGGGCAAGGGGGCGGGGCTGTAGCGCTCGGCAGCAGGGCCTGGAGGACAGCGGTGGCAGCGGTGACGAGCGGCACCGACAGGCTGTGCGGGACGCGGACGCCGGGACACGGGAGCACAGAGGTAACGCAGGACGGAACAGGCGGGCGGGGAGTGGGCGCGGGTCGCGGGCCCCGAAGGCGAGTGGCGGAGGCCGGTCGCCTTCTGGCCCGGGACACCGACGCCGCTCCCCCGGCAGAGGGGGCGGGGCGCCCGAGTCCCGGGAGGTGGCGCCTTTTGTCTGCCTGCCGCGGCCGCTCCGCCCCCTCGCCTCCCCCTCTCCCCTCGGACCTAGCCCCCTGCCCCTCTCGCGGACGCCTCCTCCGGGGCCAGCCGGCGCGCGCTCCCGCCCTTGTTTTGTTTGGACTTGGGGGAGGAGGGGCAGCACTTCCCTGGCCCTGCGCAACCCCCCCGCGTCCCAGTGCGCTTGCGCAAGTCGGCGCACCCTATTGGCTGCGGGCTCGCGCATGCTCAAAGGTCGCCGCGGCTTTCCGCCGCGCCCTCCCCTCATCCTACTCCGTCAACGGTCTTCCAGCCGGTTCGAAAGATGCCGGCGGCGGTGACTGGCTGCGGCGGGCCCGCCCCCCCGGGTTCTCCGCCCCCGCCGCCGCCATTACGGAGCTCTCAGTGGTGAGTGTGCGGAACCGAGGCCCGCGGTCCGCCGCTTCTCGCGTGGCCCGTGCAGGCGCTCTCGCCGCCGCGTCTCTGCGAGCAGTGCCTGCGGTTATCGCCGCGCGGAGCGTCGGCCGCTGGCCGTCTGTCGCTCGCAGCAGCCCTGCCCTCGTCTCGGCCAGCTGTCCCCTGGACTGCGCGCTCGCCACCGTGGCCCTGTAGCGCTGCTGTTCGCTGCCTCGCCCCTTTGTCTCCCCTGCCCCTCGCCGCGATCCTCAGCCTTCCGTGGGCTTCGCTGTCGGCTTCGCTGCTGCCGCTGCTGCTGTTGCTGCTATGGCCGCCTTGCGCTTCCGTTTCCCCCCGTGCCGTGTCTAGATCGCATCCCTGCCGCACCCACCCTAGGCGGTGCGGTGTGAATCCCAGCAGGGCTTCGGTAGGTCCTCAGAGGCAGCATTGTCACTCTGAGCGTTTGCAACGCATTGGAGGCTGGGGTGCCGAAATGAGCCCCAAATCTGAGTTGATCCCGACTTGGCCGACCGTTGTCAGGCCGAGGACAGTTACTTTTTGAGGCAGGCTTCTCTCTCTGCACGACCAGATGTCTCGACTAGGCGGCCGTGCTGCCCCTTCCGCGTGTGCATTCCCCCTCAGCTGCTGCTACGTATTGTGTTTGCTGATTTTTCTTAGGTTGGAAAGGGAATCCAGTTAGAAGAACGGCTAGGAATCCACCTGGGACCCCGAGAGCTAGTCGTCCCCACTTAAGGGTGAAATAGTCGTGTCATTTTGAAAGATGCTTTACCTTAGTTTATCTGACACAGGCACAAAACAACCATTGCCTGCAGTTTTGTTTTACTTTTCATAAGTTTAGTGTTATTAAAAGAAAAAGTTTAGTGTAATTTGTTTCAAAGTAGATGTAACATGTTAAAGATTGAGGGGTTTTTAGCTTTGGTTTTTAAGACTACTTGGGTGGTTGAGGGCTGGAAATTGTTGGAGGAAGTATATTGACTTCTTGATAGGTGGTAAAGGCTTTACCTACTTAGATTATTTTAGTAGGAGGGACCAGGTAGTGTCCTTTGCATCAGTGTTCCAAATAGACACCAACTAGATTGTTGATTTAATGAAATGTAGTCAAGTAGCCTTTTGTTAGGTGACTCCTTACAGCTGAAGATAGGGAAGGACCTTTGATTGGGAGCAATTTGCAGTATTTAATGCATTATTAGTGACATTAGAATGTATAGTCACATACATTTTATGGTGAATTATGAAATTGTAGTATTTTCCCTAAAATGCATATTGTTGAGAATACCAATAAACTGAAATACATTATTAAACTCCTACTTACATTTTTTAAAAATCCTACTTTTTATTGTTCTTTTCTTAATGCAGAGGGAATAAGTTAAAACTGAAATTTTGGACTTTTTGCTTCTCCAAACCCTTTCTTTATTTCCAGCATTTGGCATTTCCCTTGTCCAGACTTAACACACACACACACACACACACACACACACACACACACAAATTCATGACCAAGGGAGGACCATGTGCATCACAAGCAGACAAAGATTACTTTGGCACATATATGAAGAACTGAGGTGAAAAGTGTTTGCTGAACGTCCATCTGCCCCTGATATGTTCTTAGGCATCAGCAGTAGACAGATCTGCCAGGAGACGCTTGGCTGCCTGAAGGCCTGATCTTTCACAAGTGCCTATCAAAAAGTTTAGTAACAGGTACATGCCAATACTAAGGCCATGTGAATTAACTTTGCATGTGGTTCTATTCGCTCTGAACAAGCGAATTTGTTAAATAACCTGTTAACACACCCAGTACGAAGTTAGTACTACAGATTGGAACTTAGCATTTCATGACCTTTACTAAGAAATTCAGACCTGAAGCAAACATTTCTCAGTATTTATCCCAAATAACTATGGTGTGTGTGTGTGTGTGTGTGTGTGGTGGTAGTGGGGGGTGGTGGAGGGAGGAGAGTGCTGTTCTTTTGTTGTTTTTTGAGATTGGTGAGGAGGTGTGTCTGTGTTGCCCAGGCTGGTTTTGAACATGGGCTCAGATGATCCTCCTGCCTCAGCATCCCAAGTAGCTGGAACTACAAGCATGTTCACAATGCCTGACTCTAGGTATTTATATCCTGAATACAGTAATAAGTCCTATCACATGTCAGTGTTCATTCAATTTTTTTCTCAGTAGAGTACCACGTGTATGTTGGACACTGTTGTAGGTGCAGTTTTGGTCCTTGTAATACTTATATTCTATTGGGAGAGACATGTAGTAAACAAACATATTGAGCTTCAGGTGGTGGTAAATGCTATAAAGAAACCTGAGGAAGGTCTTTCTGAGGGGGCAATAATGTCCAGAGGCCTGATTGAAGGGTGTGGAAGAAAGACCATTTTAGTGTGAGAGGAAAGTAAGCGCAAACACCCTGGAGGCAGGAGTGAGCAGAACACAGTTCAAGGGCTGAAGATCTGCAGGTTTGGAGCCAAGAAAGCAAAGTAAGGTGAAATTGATGAAGATGTTGGTATTGGGATGTTTTAAGCTGGAGAATGTCAGGATTTATTTTTTTGGTGGATGCATTGGGGAAGATGAACTCAGGGTCTCACTCTTGCTAGGCAGATGCTCTACTACTTGAACCACTCTGCCAGCCCAGTGGGGAAGATTGATGGACCAACCTATTTCACAGTTATCCCAACCTGGGCATACTTTTTATCTGGACTAATTCAGACTCATTCTTGTCCTTAGGTTAATATGTGTTTCTGAGCTACTGTTGCCCTGAGTTTATTTTTATCACTTTGATATTAAGAATTGCTTCCTATGTCCCCCCCACCCCCATTCCTTTTGAAATCTGTTCATTTTAAGTTTGAGTAGTGAATACAGAGTTGACTGGAAAAGTTTGACACTTTTCAGTGTATTGTTTACAGGGAAAATATTTTTTTGATACCTGTTGTCAGCGACTCCTGAAGGTTTTACTGACTTCACAATAGCATTTTTAACCTCTTCTGGTGTTTTCACAGGTTAGGAAAGATAAACTCATTAGCAATATCACTTTACCAAGGATAACCACATCACAATGTGTTATCTGCATAGTGTTTGTATAATATAAAGGATGTTTTATTTCTGCATAGTGTTTGTATATAAAAATACTAGTAGAGTACCTAATTTTCATTATTTTCTTATCAACGAAAACACATTACTATGTAAGTGCTAGTTGTATGTATTGAAATTATTCCAAGATAGATTTTTAATTTTCACAAACTCAAGTAATGCTGGTAAGCCATCTTGGCCCTCCTTTCCTTTTTTTTTTTTTTGGTGCTGGGGACAGAACTCAGGGCCTTGCACTCAGTGTTCTTCCACTGAACTAAATCCCCAACCCCTTGGCTCTCATTTCACAGATCAGAAAACAGCTGTTTTCATTTCTGGTTTGTTGTTACTCATTTGTTTTGGGATTTATTTATTTATGTATTTATTTTGAGACAGGATCTCACTATGTAACCCGGGCTGGCCTCCAACTCACCTTCCAAAGTTCCCATAAAAAGATTTTCCCTGTAAATGTGAAAGCATTCTCTGTGTTTAAAAATTTTCAGTTTATCCTACCTTATTATTGCAGCTTTGAACTCCATTACCTGACCAGTTGAAAGCTCTTAAATTCCTAGAAAGGCTTAGAACTTAGAGTAAGCATTCGGTTTATCATTCCCCAGCTTCTTGTTAATTGTTCATTAGCACAGAGATGTAAACAGTTAAGTGACCATTTCCTTATATTATGAAATGCTATTGAGACCTAGTTTTTTTTTTTTTTTTTTTTTGGTAGTACTAGAGTTTGAACGCAGAGCCTCCTGTTTGCTAGGCAAGTGCTAAACCACTTGAGCCATATCCCCAGCCCTTTTTGTTTTAGTTTATTTTTCAGGTAGGGTCTCACATTTCTTCCCAGGGCTGGCCTTGGACTGTGATCCTTCACATGGGGTAACTGGGATTATAGTATGCCCCACCACTCCTGTCTTATTTTTTAAGGTAGAGTCTCATTAACTTTTTTTCTTTTTTTGTGGGGTGGGGGTGGAGGAGTGTGGACTGGCCTTGAACCAATCTGCATGTCTTCTCCCTCATAGCTGGGATTATAGGTGCAGGTGACATTTTTGAGTTTGGATGATGGTGGGTTTTATCTGTGAATATTTACGTTCTTATGTTTTTGTTTTGCTTATGTTAAAAGTACGACAAAGTTTTAGAATTATATGTCTGTTCTCCTAGGTAATTGGTCTAACTTTACTTCTTTGGTTCTGAAATCTCTTAGAATGTCAGGTTCTTCAACAATATTTTTGCCCTTTATTTTCCCATAATAGAAAAAAGGTTACTTCTCTTACACCAGTAGTTACAGTTAATTTTCCAGACCCCTCTGAGAACAATAACAAGAAAAGCCTACTCTCTGTAGTATGCTAATGTTTGTCCAAACATTTGACTAAACCCTCCTTAGTTTCCTTCCTGAGTGCCTGATGGTAGCTGAGGGGATGGAGTTAGGTTCCTTGTGAGCTTTCTTGTCCTTGTTGCCTTTGTTCATGTGGAAGTTGCAACAGCTGCTGTGGCTTATGCATTTGTCTTAGTCACTGCTTTACATACTCTATATTTTGATGGTGGTTTTATCTTTTTGAATAATAATTAAGTCACCTGTCACTTAACTGTAAGTTTTATAGTTATATCTTTTCCCTTTGGATGTATATGAAATTTAGACATTTTAGTGTAGTTTGTTTCTGTTAATCTTCACACCAGGTCTTTTCTGTGCTTTAGGTTGACTCTTCACCACACTGAAACCATTAGGAAAAATCCTTGTGGTTAACAGCAGAGGCTTCAGAGTGTGTAACCTGTACTCAGGCCTAGAAATTATTTTAAATGGCGACTGATACGTCTCAAGGTGAACTCGTCCATCCTAAGGCACTCCCACTTATAGTAGGAGCTCAGCTGATCCACGCAGACAAGTTAGGTGAGGTAGGGGCTGACACATTCTTGAAGCTCACTCTTGGATCAATCCCTGACTTGAGGCCCTGCTGGGTTCTTCTTGGTACATGTTCCTTCTCCTACTTTGGGGAGTCTACGGTGTGAATCCAAAAAAATCCAATAGCTGTAAAGTTCTTTTCATCTTCCCCTTCCCCTCAAATTCCTGAGAAACCTCCAACCTCCTAAATTTATTCAAAATCAAGTATAATTATTCCCACTTGAAGTTCTTTCTGAAATAAAATATTTTAAAGCTTATTTCATTTTATTTTACATCAAAAAACTTCTTAAAAGTAATTTGCATCAGATCCTGGAGTTGACTTGAAGAATTCTCCTACATCTTTTGACACCCAGTTAGGCCCCTTGAGAAAGAGAGAAAAGAGAACTTTTTAATGATGCTTGATTATGGCCTTCTCTTTTTTTTTTAGAAGGTAGAAGATAGCACCATGCCGATTAGAAGAGCTGTTAACTCTACCCGGGAAACACCACCCAAAAGCAAGCCTGCCGAAGGGGAGGAAGAAAAGCCAGGTAAAGCAGGCATGAGACTTAATCCTGTGTGACGGATTCCATAACTCCCTCTAAACTTAACTGTGCTTTTTTCATGGCTTGAATGTTTTGGGGCAACATTCAAGGAAAGAAACGGTAGTTCTGGGTACACTGCTGACCTATATGGGTGAAGTAAGAATGTGTTTTCTCATTTTTTGAAAGGTGAAGTGTAGTGTTCTTGGAATTAAAAACAGGAATGATAGAAATTGTAGAGTGGCCTTCTGAACATGCAGAATCAAAGGGATTGAAGGCTCATGTAATCACAGAGGGCTGAGTCTTCAGGAGGGACAGTGGACAGTTCACCCAGAAATCCATCAGGAGGCCTTAAGAGAAGCAAATGAGTGGTCAAAACATTGTGTCTAACTGGTGTTACTGGAAAAGAGATTGGCCAGTCAGAGGTAGGAATATAAGTAGTGTAGAGAAATGCATGTAGATCCATCAACCTGGCAAACCAGTACTCCTTTAGAGTTTCTCTGATCGCTTGTTCTCCTGTTCCCGGTCATTCTCTTCCTTCTTGTTTCTTGTTACCTTTTTCTTTAGTTGCTTATCCTTTTTTCATTCTCCCTTGCTTTTTTTTTTTTTTTTTTTTGAAGATTTTTATTTATGTTTTGGTGGTACTGGAGTTTGAACTCAGGGCCTCGTGCTTCCTAGGCAGGCACTTTACTGCTTGAGCCATGCCCACAGCCCTCTGCTTTGCATTTTATCTCAGGTTTGTTTGGATGAGCACACTATGCTGTCCCTGTCCTGGCTGTTCAAATCAAATATTTGCTTATGAACATAGATTAGGAATAGAAAAGACATGCTCCCCTTTTGAGTTTATCTCTTGGTGCACTAGGATTTTAAGCCTGGATTTTGTCTCAGAATCCCTAAGTTGAATGCCATTAGCAATTTGGGCACTGTGGCCTAAGACAGTTATATTAAAAAGGTAATGGGGGGAGGCCAAGCTCCAGTGGCTCACGCCTATAATCCTAGCTACTCAGGAGGCAGAGATCAGGAGGATCACAGTTTGAAGCCTTCCCAGGCAAATAGTTTGCAAGACCCTATCTCGAAAATGCCCAATGCAAAATAAGGCTGGCAGGGTGGCTCAAGTGGTAAAGCACTTGCCTAGCAAGCGTGAGGCCCTGAGTTCAAACCTCAGTACTGCTAAAGGAGCAAAAAAAAAAGGTAATGGGGGAAAGTGATTTGATGATTATTTTGTCCAGCACTGGGATAAGCCACTAATTACTAATAATATCAGTTTTCACAAAACAGAGGCAGAGGTTTTAGATGTGTAAGGTATTAGAAGAGTCAACTAAAACTTTGTAAATTATGTTCCTTTATACATTATATATTTAATCTCACTATATCATTTATGGTATTTTGTGCATGAATGTAATTGAATGTTCATTTTGAATTTTGTAAATCTTTTATTCTACACAGGCAGACACAGTAGTTTAATGATTTGAAAATAGTGTCTTACATCAATATCAGTTGAGTGAGTGAACGTTTATTTAACCATAACTTTTTGGTTTTGTTTTTTGAGCCAGAATCTCACTGTGTTACTCAGGCTGTCTCAAACTCCTGATCTCAAGCAATTCTCCTGCTTCAGCTTCCCTATTAGCTGGGACAAGTGTGATCACATCTAGCCAAGCTGTAACTCTTAAGCAGTTATAAGTATACCTCCAGAGGTACTGCATTTTCCAGCCCAGACCACTTCAGTAAAGCAGTTTATTATGATAAAGGGAATCACACAATTTGTATGGTTTCCTAGTGCATATAAAAGTTATATGTACACTATACTGTAGTCCAGTAAGTGTGCAGTAGAATTATGTCTCAAAAAACAGTGTATGTAGCCAGAATGTGGCAGTCATGCCTGTAATCCCAGCATACAGAAGGCTAAGGCAGGAGGATCCTGAGTTTTTGGCCAGCCTGGATTACATAGTGAGACCCTGACTCAAATTGCCCTCCCAAACCTCCCCCAAAAAATACATACCTTCATTAAAAATACTTTATTGCTCAAAAAATACTATCCATAATCTAAACTTCATGAGTTGTAATCTTTTTGCTGGTAGAGGGTCTTCCCTCAGTGTTGGTGGCTGCTGACTGATCACTTGGGGTTGCTGAAGGATGGCGTAACTGGTTGTTGTTTATAATGAGTGAGCAATGAAGTTTGCCACATCAGATTTCTCTGTCTGATTCCATTTTAACCCATCATAGAACTTCTTTCAAAGTTGGAGTTAATCTTTTCAAACTCTATTATATTCTGAATCCTTCATTATCATTCCAGCAGTGTTCATCTCCAGAAGACACTTTCTTTGCTCATCTATAAGAAGTAACTCCTCGTTCACTCAAATTTTATCATGAAATTGTAACAATTCAGTCACATCTTTAGGCCTTATCTCTAGTTTTCTTACTGTTTCTACCACATCTGTGGTTACTTCCTTCACTGAAATATTTTGTTGTTTGTTTTGTATCTTTTGTTTTGTTTTTGGTAGTAGAATTTGCACTCAGGACCTCATGTTTGCTAGGCAGGCTCTCTGTCATTTGAACCACTCTGCAGCCCAATTTTGTGTTGGGTTTTTTGTTTTTCCTTTTTGAGATAGGGTCTTATGAACTGTGTGCTTTGAACAACCATCCTCCTGATCTGATCTCTGCCTCCTGAATAGCTAGAATTAGAGGCATGAGCCATTGTTGCCTGGCTTGTAGCTAGGCTTTTTTTTTTTTTGAGGCAGGGTTTTGTTTTATAGCCCAGGGTGGCCACATGTTCATGATCCTCCTGCATCAGCCTCCCCAGTGCTTGGGATTATAGGCTTGTACCACCACACCTGGCTTCCCCTGAAGTTTTGAACCTGAGGGTTGGATTAACTTTTTCCAAAATTCTCTTACTGGTGATATTTTGATCTCCTCCCATGAATCACATGTTTTTACTGGCACCTAGAATGGAATCCTTTCCAGAAGGTTTTCTCTCTTTCTTTTGTTCTATATTTCTTTCACTAGCATATATTAATTGTATAGAGGACACACTGTGATATTTGCATATAGACATAAATGTACTTTGATCAAATTCACCCCATCTGTTACTCTTTCCCTACCCCCCTTTCCAGAAGGTTTTTCAATTATTCTGCCCAGATCTATCAGAAAAATCACTATCTATAGCAGCTATAGTCTTACAAGATGTATTTCTTTTTTTTTTTTTTTTTTGTTCTTCACAAAGTCAGCAAAGGTCAAGTTTATTTTATTTATTTATTTATTTTTTTTGCTCTAGTTATTTTTTTTTCCTTTTTTCTTTTATTATTCATATGTGCATACAAGGCTTGGTTCATTTCTCCCCCCTGCCCCCACCCCCTCCCTTACCACCCACTCCGCCCCCCTCCCTCTCCCCCACCCAATACCCAGCAGAAACTATTTTGCCCTTATTTCTAATTTTGTTGTAGAGAGAGTATAAGCAATAATAGGAAGGAACAAGGGTTTTTGCTGGTTGAGATAAGGATAGCTATACAGGGAGTTGACTCACATTGATTTCCTGTGCGTGGGTGTTACCTTCTAGGTTAATTCTTTTTGATCTAACCTTTTCTCTAGTACCTGTTCCCCTTTTCTTATTGGCCTCAGTTGCTTTTAAGGTATCTGCTTTAGTTTCTCTGCGTTAAGGGCAACAAATGCTAGCTAGTTTTTTAGGTGTCTTACCTATCCTCACCCCTTCCTTGTGTGCTCTCACTTTTATCATGTGCTCATAGTCCAATCCCCAATGTATAATGTATTTCTTAAATAATAAAACTTGAAAGTTAAAACTGCTTCTTGATGGTAGCTCATGCCTGTAAATCCTAACTACCCAGGATATAGACAACAGGGGATCTTAGTTTAGGACCACCCTGGACAAAAAGTTCAGAAGATCCCCATCTCAGTCCATGGCTAGGCAGGTATGGTCATTTTGTATGCAGGGAAGTACAGATAGGAGAATTGTGGTCCAGGCCAGCCTGGGGATAAAGTAGACCCTATCTCGAAAATAAAACAAAAAGGGCTGGCAGGGGCTCGTGGAATAGCTCAAGTGGTAGGGTACCTGCCTAGCAAGTGTGAGGCAAAGTTCAAACTCTAGTACAAAAAACACACACACAAAAAGGGCTGGCAGAACAACTAACCAACCACAGTATCCCCCAAAAGAAAAAAAAAATACTCCTTGATCCATAAGCTGCAGAATGAATATTTTATTAGCAGGAAAGAAAGCAACATTAATCTCATTGTGCATGAGGGTGCTTGGGTAACCAGGTACATTGTCCTCAAGGAGAAATACTTTGAAAATTCTTTTCAAAGTATTCTTTCAGAACATTAGGTCTCAACAGTCAGCTTAACATAGTAAGTCATGTTGAAAAGAGATCAGTTGTCTACTATAGATACTCTGAATAACTTTCTGTTTCACCTTCCACTTTTTTGAAGTTTTGGGCAGTCTCAGGGCTTCACACTTAGAGGTAGGCACTCTGCCATTTGAGCCACAAGTCCGTCACCTTGCACTTTTGTGTTAAAGAGATAGCTTCTTAAATTTCATGAACCGTCCTCTGGGAGCTTCACATTTTCTTCTGTAACTTCCTCTCTCAGCCTTCATAGAATTAAAGAGAGTTAGGGCCTTGCTCTGAAATTAACTTTGACTTAAAGGAATATCGTGGACTGATTTTGATCTATTCAGACGACTAAAATTTTCTGTATCAATAATAAGGCTGTTTAGTAAGTGACTGGTGGCTCAGCCTATAATCCTAGCTACTTGGGAGGCTGAGATTGGAAGAATTGTTGGAGGCCACCCTAGGCAAAAAGTTCCCAAAACCTCATCTCAACCTATAGCTGGATGCAGTGGTGTGCTCCTTTCATCCCAGCTACAGTGGAAAGTATAAAATAAGAGGATCGCAGTCCAGGCTGGCTCAGACATAAAGCAAGACCTTAATCTCTAAAATAACTAGAGCAAGCCAGGCACTTGTGGCCCATACCTGTTTAATCCTAGTTACTTGGGAGGCTGCAGTCAGGAGGATAGTGGTTTGAACCAGCTGGAACAAAAAAGTTAGCGAGACCCCATCTTAACCAATAGCTGAGTGCAGTAGTGTGTGCCTGTTATCCCAAACTATGTGGGAGGGTGAGAATGAGAGGATGGAGAGTCCAGGGCAGCCTGGGCAAAAAAGTTTTCGAGACCCCCATCTCAATTGGAAAAAGCTGAGCCTGATGACACTTGTCATCCCAGTTATGGCTAAAAGTAGAATAGGAGGGTGGCAGTCCAGGCATCCTCCATGGGCAAAAAGTGATACCCTGTCTCTAAAATAACCACAGAAAGAGGGCTGGAAGTGCAGTTAAAGCAGTAGAGCATCTGCCTAGCATGAAGCATGAAGCCCTGAGTCCAAATTCAGTATTGCCACGAAGGTTTTGCTTTCTTACCATTCATGTGTTCACTGGAGAAGCAGTATTTTGGGTGGGGTGGGGTGGGGATTTGAGAAGAAGGTCTCACTATGTAGCCCAGGCTGGCTTTGAACTCATGATCCTCCTGCCTCAGTTTATGGAGTGCTGGGATTGTATATGTGTGCTACCACACCTAGCTGTTTTTTCTTTCTTTTTTTTAGAAAAAGGCAATTTATAAGTGAACATGTGATTAACAGTGATTCTTACTATGTAGTTCATTAGGGCAAATTGTTGGGGTGAGGGGCTTTAAAAAAATCATTATGAAAAATACATCTTCCTGTGGAAAATCTAAATTCATTTATTACCTGTATTCCCTAGACACCATTGTTATAATGAAGTTGTATATTTCATGATCCTTAAACATGTGAGAAACAGTTCTAGAAGAATCAGCATAGGCCAGAGGAGGACAAGAATCACTCAGTACAAGTGCCAGCCTACAGGCTTCCCCTAAAACATTATATATAATCCTCATAAATGTGGGGTAAGGATATGAGACGTGGAGATGTCAAGGAATTTGGCCTACGATCATTGAGTTGGAAGTTCATGAAGACTCAGCTTGAGGCTGGTGTTTACCCATAGTCCTAGCACTCAGGAAATGTCAAGATGGAAGGATTCCTTGAGCCCAGGAGTTCAAGACTAGCCTGGGCACTTTAATGAAGTCTAGATCCAAAAAACAAAAAATAAAGTAAAAGAATTTAAAATATTGAACTAGACTCCATGTGTGTCTAACTCTAAAACCTCAGCTTTGCCTGAACAGACAGAAATTTGAAGTAGACTATTTTATCTAGTTGAAGATAATTCAGGACATAATTTGTAGGTGGTAATTGGCTGTTCTGAAGGTTATGGTTTTTAGAGTTTTAATTTGCTAAGAAACTAGATACTCCTTTTACAATTTGATTATAAGCAGGAAGTAGCACTTTTTTTATTCTCTTTCTGCAAAGACCACAGAAAAATTTTCATCATTACTTCAATAATTAATTCACATAATGTACATGATCACACTCTTCAAGCATATAATTTGATTGTTTCTTGATTTTTGTCATTGGAGTCCTTTTCTTTGGTGTCTTTGTATAAGCAATGCCTGCAGTTCTGTGTTTTATAGTAACTTCTCAGAGACATGCTATGGAGGAAAAGCACAAACAATGCAGACATCAGTATTTCCCTTCTCATGTTCTAGTCTGGAAAATATGTGCTAATTTTCTTTTATTCTCTTAAGATTTTTTTTTTTGCCCTGCTGGGAATTGAACTCAGGTCCTACACCTCAAGCAGTCCACCAGCCCTTTTTTTTTGTGGTGGGTTTTTTCGAGATAGGGTCCCACAAAGTATTTGCCCATGCTGTCTTTGAACTGCGATCCTCCTGATCTCTGCCTCCTGAGTAGCTAGGATTATAGATGTGAGCTACCAGCACCCGGCAGAAGATTCTTAATTATAAATACCGTTAATATTACAAAGTACACTATCGAGATTTAGGGTGAATGTGTAATTTCCTGGCCCATTTTCTCCCAGTGTTCTGGATAAGTAATTGAAAATGCAGCCTGAGTTATATGAAGAATAAAAGGTGGGCGCTGGGAATGTAGTGTAGTGATAGAGCTCGTGCCTAGCATACTTGAAGCCCTAGATTCAATCCCCAGCACTACTCCCACCCTTCTAAATAAAGAATAAAAGAGGGCTGGGGATGAAGCTCAGTGGATGGTACCTGCTTTTTCATATATGAGGTACTTAGTTTGAGTCCAATACCACAAAAAAAAAAAAGAAAAGAAAGGTAGAAAACAAAAGAAAAAGAAGAGGAAGGAATAAAACTGCACTCTTAAGTAATTTGTCGTTCATTTTAGAGTTTACTCATTAAGCAGAACATTTGACCTTTTAACTCATAGGGGAGGGGTGTAGGCACTGTAGTGTATCTACTTGATTTTTCAGAACCAGATATAAGTTCAGAAGAATCTGTCTCCACTGTAGAAGAACAGGAGAATGAAATTCCACCTGCTACAGCTAGTGAGACGGAACAACCCAAAGGCGAGCCTGAGACTGAAGAGAAAGAAGAAAACACGTCTTCTGAGGAAGCCAAGAAGGAGTAAGTAAAGTTAGTGAAGATTGCATAAAAGGGCTGCAGATCAGGTTGTAGTCATATTAACAACATTGATGGATGCTAGTATTTGCTATTTGGATACACTTTTTAGGATTATTTGAAATGGTTTTATTACATAGTTGTATGGCTTTTAAAATTTGTAGTAGTTGGCAGAATAATGGCTTAAATAATCCCTTCCTGTTGGCTTTAGAGTGTGTGTATGTGTTTAGAATTCATTATTGAAATACTTGCTATTTTAAGCATTGACAAATCTCAATAAGAAATGAAGCATTAACTGTGAAATTTGATCTGAGGTTGAGTGCTTGGCTCACTCCTATAATCCTAACTACTTGGAAGGCAGAGATGGGGAGGATTGTGGTTCAAGGCCAGCCCATGCAAAAAGTTTGGAGACCCCATCTCAATCAGTAAGCATCCCAGCTACATAGGAAGCATGAATAGGAGGATCATAGTCCAGGCTGGCCCTGGTATAAATGCAAGAAACTATTCAAAAAATGACTAAAAGTAAAAAAGGGCTGATGGCATGCTCAAATGGTAGAGTTCCTTCCTGGCAAGCACTAGGCCCAGAGTTCAAACCCCAGTACAAAAAAAAAAATCTAATCAGAAAGGCATTTAAACCATTTTATACTACATCTGAGCCAAGACTGAGTTGTTGTGTGTATGTGCTTATGTGAAAGCATCAGTATATCAAGCATTTGCTAGAGTGATCTAAAGTTCTGCATATGTTCAGTGAAGCTTGGATTGGAAGCATCTTTGGGCATCTGAATGCAAAATTTGCTGTTGATGACCCCTATCTGTAAGAGATGGTACCAATTCTTTTTTAAAGTTTTTATTTTTTAATTTGAACTCAGGGCCTATATCTTCTGCTACTCCATCAACCTTATTTTTGTGTGTGTGTGTGTGATGAGGTTTTTCAAGATAGGTTCTCTCGACCTATTTGCCCAATTGGCTTCGAACTGTGATCCGCCTGATCTCTGCCTCCTGAGTAGCTAGGATTACAGGTGTGAGTCACTGGCACCCAGGTTAGATTTGTATTTATTCTGCAGGTAGTATTTACTCTTATTTTCATAGTTGGTTAGGACCGTTAGAAATTTCCTTTCAAATAAAATGGCAATAGCTATACCTTCTAGGTATAACCCTCAGGGAGTCCTTTATCCCAGTTTCATAGGAATGGTAGTAAAATGTGGGATTTTAGCAGCTGTACTATATATTTTTTTAAGTGTTCTAATATGTTAGGTGCATGGAGTACTCTATTACTTACAGTAAAATTTACATAATGTTTTCTGGCTTATAAAGTTATTTTGATTTTAAAACTTTTATTGTAATGCATTTGTTCTCAGGGCTTGCTAGGTAGGTGAACATTTTGATTTTTGAAACATAATCTCATAATACTTTCTTTTCTGAGATGGTGTTATATTACTGTTTTATAACTGCGGTAGCAGACATATATCACTTGCAAAGATCATATTGCTAGTTGGTAAGTGTTAAAGATAAAATTCAAACCTAGTTTTCTGACTTTAAAGCTTGACTTCTTTCTACTATACCAAACTGCGTCTGGTATAGTGGTTGCCAGTATGCATTTTAAAATTCTCATTTATTTTATGTGCTGGACCTTCATCCCAGCGTTATCTTAGCTGACTACTCTCCTGCACCTAAGAAGAAGTATCTTTTTTAGTTCATTTATAGTACCCAGTTTTAAAGTTTTATTTTATAAATTTTTGCTTGTTTTACATAACACCTTAGTGTATAACATTTTTATCAATTTTTGTTCTTTTCCTGTTTCTTTCTTTATACAGTTGTCCCTTTGTATCCAAGGGAGATTGGTTTGACTCCTGCAGATACCAAAATCTGTATATGCCCAAGTCCCTTATATAAATTGGTTTAGTATTTGCATATAACCTACACATAACCTCCTGTGTACTTTAAATCAGTTCTCGATTACCTATAATATGTAATACAATGTAAATACTCTATTGACAGTTGCTATACTTTTATTCAGGAAATAATGGCAAGAAAAAAATGTCTGTATATGTTTAGCACAGATGTAATTTTTCTCAAAAATTTATAATCCTTAGATGCAGAACCCAAAAATATTTTCTGGGTTTTTTTGTTTTGTTTTGGTGGTACTGGATTTTGAACTCAGAGGCTCATGCTTACTAGGCAGGTGCTCTACCACTTGAGCTACTCCACCAGCCCCAGAGCCCAAAAATGTGAATCCCATGGATACAAAATGTAGATTATGCATCTTTCTGGAAAGTTTGTCTTGTGTAAGAAAGGTTCTTTGTTTTAAAGTGAGAAAGATCAGACTAAAGAAAAGGAGAAGAAAGTGAAAAAAACGATACCGTCCTGGGCTACCCTTTCTGCCAGCCAGCTAGCCAGGGCCCAGAAACAAACACCGATGGCTTCCTCACCACGTCCCAAGATGGATGCGATCCTAACTGAGGCCATTAAGGCAAGTTTTTATTTAAAGCAGTTGTTTTAGATTTATCCTGCTCATCTTTTGCTTACTTGAAAGTGGCGTACTCTGTCCAGGTACCAGGAATCTTGCTTTGCTTCCTAAAGGAGATTCAAGTAGAAGAAACCTATGTAAGGTACATGTTTTTTCTGGCATGGTTACATTTGATGAATACTGTTGTTAAAAATTTATATTTAATAAATATTTTTGACTTAACCTTTAGAAATGTTTTTTTTAACTCAGTTTATTGATCAAGTATTTTTTGTTTGAAGGCTACAAATGTTAATTCACTAAGCTAACATTTATGGGCTACCTTCTCTGAGACAAACAACTGTGACTTGTGATACAGCATTGGCCAAAGACAGGGTCCTTGTCCTTAACAAAATCTAATTATTACTAGGTAACAAAATAACCTTGAGAATTTTTGTTAAATTCTCATCTGTGCAGCTGAGCTCTGATGTTTACAGCCCTTTTCTTTTATACCTCACCTAGGAAGCCCTCACATAAGCTTTATCATCTAGCCCTTCCAAATGCTGCACAAATTATCCTCCTTACATGACTTCATGACTTCACTATAATTGATTGGCTTTTGTTAGCTTATGCTGTCATAATATGTCATAGTTTCTAAAAAAAATTTTAGAGGATACTACCTTTGTTGTGTAAGTTCCACCCCCCACCCTTAATGGAGATCAATCCAAGGCCTTGTGCGTACTAGGCAAGCACTCTATCACTGAGCTTACATCCCCAACCCAAATCTTCCCATGTAATTTTCAATTGATAAGAAGAGTTAAAAGAGACCCCTCATTTCAGGGACTTTTTTGCTAGGGTCCGATTCAGACTGGAGAGAGACATTCAGATCATTTTAACCAAGGGTGGTATACATAGGAAGAAGCAGCCTGGTTGTCAGCTCAGATTTGAGAAGATAAAACTGACAACATGAGCTGGAAAAGGGTTTCCATTCAGACCTCTCCTTCATTCCTTCGAGATTTCTTACTTTCACCTCATTAAGAAAACTTATCCTCTAGATAGCTTGACCATAGTGAGATCTCTGTTCTTTGTGCAGCCCTCCTTAAGGGCTTTACTTCAGCCATTCAGTGTGGGTTTGAAGGAGTAGAGATATAAAGAGCATGAAGGTGCTAAAATTTTTGAATAGTTAAAAATGGAGCAAGAAAAATTTGGCCTACACTGAATTTGATTTTGCATATTTGTACACATATGGTTATTTTTGTGATACCATGTGCATTTCATGAAGTTTTACAAGTCATGATTTTAGACCACTGTACAATCATCTGTGTAAAACAAGAGTGCTAATGTCTCCTTGTATTTCTGTAGCACAAGGGATTGTTTGTTTTAGGATTACAGAGTTCTTTTCTGCTTATCGTTCTTTGCTTTGTGTTTTCTTTTGTATGTTTGTGTGTACTGGGGTTTGAACTCAGGGCTTCACACTTGCTAGGCAGGTGATCTGCCACTTCAGCCACTGTACCAGCCTGCTTTGTGTTTTCTTACAGAATCAGGAATAAACTTCAATAGATTGTTAATAGTTCAGAGACATTTACTTGAGTTAGGTGACCTATATTAATACAACCTGTGTTGTACAGGCTTTTCTGGTACACCTACCATCATTTATTTGAAGGCTAAAAAATGAGTTATTTTTCTTTGTTGTCAAAACATAAAACAGCATTTCAACTAAGTCTTTGTCCAATAAGGATGAGTAAGTGCTACATTCAGTCTATAGACAATGATAACACAAGACTGGAGGATTAGCCCATTAGATAAATTTACCAGATGCTATTTCTGTGAGCTTCAAATTTTAAAGCATTTGAAAAATTAAACATTTGCTACCTTTGTGATATAATCAGTTGTTAATTCTTCTTTGGTCATTTGTAGATTAGGATGGCAATGGAAGAAAGCAGCACTATAAATCTTAGTATAATATCTTCATTGTTACTCAGAACTCCCCTTAAAACTGTGCTGTCTATAAACCCAGATTATTCCCTTTCATTTTGATTATCTTTCCTTATTTTCTGTTGACATTCATTGAAAACCTGCAGAGACATATTGCTCCTGGTATGACAAACTCATTCCTTAAAATGGGCCAGGGAGGTAATCCTATAAATATAGAAATGTTTTGCTTTTCTCATTTCTCATGCTAAAGATCTATCTTCTAAATGAAAAGAGGTTTTTCATTAACACACAGAACATTGTTCATGTGTTTTGAACAATTTAGAGTTGTTACAGAAGTATTTAATAATTGTGTATTTCTTCACAGCCATTATGAACTTAAATTATCTGAAGTATTACGTGTTATTAAGCTCACTACCAAAAATAACTTAAAGTAATATGTATGATTTGACAAATCTGTTTTCTAGGCATGCTTCCAGAAGAGTGGTGCATCAGTGGTTGCTATTCGAAAATACATCATCCATAAGTACCCTTCTCTGGAGCTGGAGAGGAGGGGCTATCTCCTTAAACAAGCACTGAAAAGAGAGTTAAACAGAGGAGTCATCAAACAGGTATCATACAGTTGTTAAAAACAAGACCATGTCATGTATCACCTGTGCCAAGTCCATTTTTAGTCTTTTTAGGCTATTTATGTCTTTTTTTTTGTTGAAAACGAGTTACATGGTGCTGAAATACTTCAGCTTAACCTAATTGTATTACCTGAGACTAGGCCTCAGAAACAGTGGTACTAGTTGTCTCTGTAGTTAACTATTAAAGAGAACAGAAGCAATAAGATAGTGTACTTTTCCCTCTTCTTATTATACTCTTAGTTGGATTTTTCTCTGTGGCCTGCTTGTGCTTGAAATCACATAGCACTGAAAATTAGAAGGTTAAGGAACCCTACTATTACAGTTGAAAAAAGGATAATTGCTTTTGTCTTAGGTTTGTTAACTTTAAAGCCTAATTTATATGATTAGACTTTACTACTTATAAATTAGCCTTATAAATAGGTTTGCTTTAACTGATGAGTATCTAAACTACTAAAGCCTGTTAGGAGAATCAGAGAAGCCTGAAGGAATTGACACTAATCCTAGAACCAGTATTGATTTCAGGCATAATCTGTGTTACCATGCGTATTTCATCAAAACATTGGTTAGAAACAGAAGTCTAGAGCAGGAATGTACCTCTGTGCTAGGACATTTGCCTAAGCATGTGCAAGGCCATGGACCCAATCCCCAGCACTGCAAAAAAAACAAATCAGATAAATCTGAGATCAGGATGGACTTTGTCTTATCTAACCCTCTTCAGAGGTCCAGACTGATAAAATAACTACCAGGTCCCATGGTATAGTAGCATAGATAGTTCTAAAAACTTAGTCCACCATATTCCCAGAATCCTAGTCCCTTTTTTCCATATACCTTTAATTTTTGCACTGTTTGAATTAGTATAGAATTCTTGTTTTTTTCTTTCTTTTTTTTTTTTTCCATTTTGAGGATTGAACCCAGGGCTTTGCACTTGCTAGCCAAGCATTCCACCAGTGAGCCACTCCACCGGCCTGAATTAGTATAGAATTCTGTACCACCCAGGCATTTAAACTCTGCTTAGGAACTCTAAGTTCAAGATATATTGAGTGTCTCCTGTATGTCAGATGTTTATGTCAGATCAGTGAATAAAACTTCCCTGCTATATGGATCTTACTGTCTAGCTTTCCCAAAATGTAAAGTTAATACTTAATGGCCTTTAAAATGATCATTGATTAAAAGGAACTACCTAGCTAATATGATCATGAAGTCAAAGAACCTAGTGTATGTCAGCATAGCTTGTGGGTGGGCTTCATATTTTTCTTTATGAAAATTTGTTTGTGACCTACCCTTGTCTCCAGAGACTTAACCCTTACTTTGATGTATAAACAACAGTTAATGTGCTAAAAGTATTTTATCTTGATTGTTACATGATAAAAATATAGGTAGAACTAAGGCATGGATGACTGGTTATTGTGAATCAACTTTAAAGTTCTATGAAAGTGCTTTGCAAGTGTGGAAATAATGTGATAATACTTACCATCGTATGCATTGTCTAAAAGTTACTAGATAACCTTTTGCATAAGGAATAATAATCTGTAATTAGTAAACTGTAGGAAGCATTGTGACCTGAGACCACTTAGGAGCTAAACTACCAAGGACCTAGCTTCTTTTCATTACAGTGAGGGTTTTCTTATTTACCTTAAGAAATTTTGTCCCTTCCTTTTTTGTTTGTTTGTTTTATAGATTGTTTAACCCAGTATCACAATAGCATTCTTCCCCAATTTTGTAGTTGCAGAGGACTGACTGGGTTGTTCAGTATTAAATAGCCAGATGGGTCATAACTAGGATCCCCTACATCTTTTGACTCCTCTTACATTGTTTTTTTTCTCTGAAGAGTCAAATAGCACTTTACATTAGCCCTTGTGTCATCCTCTGTAATTCCCTTTGTCTAGTGTAAAGTTATAAACATGAATACTGGAATAATTTAAAATAAAAATTAATTCACTTTAGGTAAAAGGAAAAGGTGCATCTGGAAGTTTTGTTGTGGTACAAAAATCAAGAAAAACACCTCAGAAATCTAGAAACAGAAAGGTAAGAAGTCTATACCAGCGTTTGATTGAACATTGAAATACTGTTATTTCTACTAAAAGTCACATTTATTGAGTGTATACTGTGTGCTTAGCACTACGCAAAGTGCAGCCGTTCTGCAAAAGCCTTCAGAGGTCAGCTAGTGAATAGAACAGTCATAGTTCATATTCAGGCACTCTGACCCAGTTAATTATACAGCTTTTTTGCAAAATATCTTTTAAACTAGAAGTATGCCCAGAACATTTTTACTAAACACTAGACCCTAAGCTATACTCAGGGCTAACTTTTCTCATCTTTGAAAATACAAAATCCCCCTCCCCAAGATGACACAGTTAGGGGGTTAAGGGAGAAAGAAGATGGGGACAGTGTAACTAATGTACAATATGTCTAATCAGAATTGTCACTATGAATCCCCTCCCCCAGAAAATGAATATATCCTAATAACAAATTTATAATAAGATAAAAAAGACCCAGTTTTATTTATATAAGCTATTGCTACAATAATAAAGTGAAATACTTAGTATTTCATTTATGCCAGTAATTAGAATCATGAAAATTCTTCTGTAACTTTGTTTTTATAAAAAATTCTAAAGATACAGAACTCTCTGATACTCTGAAAATACTCTAAAAATGCTGTCCGATGCCGCAACTAATTCTTTGTCTCAGGCTCAGAGTGAGTTAGCCCCTTTAAATGGGCTGTCCTTCATTTTTACCTCTGTGTATTTTTAACTCTTTAATCTGAGATTTTTAATTGAAAGAAATTGCCAAAGATGTGGTCCTACATGTTAAGGAGTGAAGCCCTGAGTTCATTTCTTAAAGGGAAGGAGGGTCAGAGAGCCGCACAGTTCATACAGTACGATTTATTTGAATGTGGAAAAAAATGCTAGTTTGCTGTTTCCCCATCGATTTGGCAGTCATAGGAGGAAAACCCTTTTAAGTTGTGTATAGAAACACAGTCTATAATGATCATGAGTTTTCATTCTGTATTTCAGAAGAGGAGTTCTGCAGTGGATCCAGAACCACAAGTAAAATTGGAGGATGTCCTCCCATTGGCCTTCACTCGCCTTTGTGAACCTAAAGAGGCTTCCTACAGTCTCATCAGGAAATATGTGTCTCAGTATTACCCCAAGCTTAGAGTGGACATCAGGTATTAGCCATTGACCTGGACTTTAAAATATGCTGTGCTATTCCTTTAATCCCTTTCTCATGGGAAGGAGATAAATGAAATAGTCATGAGTTACTTTTACCTGAGCTAAAATTAGACCTTTTTTTGTGGATTTTTTTTTTTTTTTTTTTTTTGCTCCATTATATTTTCTTTTTCATATCACCATATGTAGGTTTTTGGTTGTTTTTTTTTTTTTTTCTGAAACTCAAACCACATTTTCTTTTATCACATCCTGATAGAGTACAGTTGTTCCTCATTATCTGTGGGGGATTTGGTTCCAGGACCCTCCTTGATAACCAAAGTCTACAGGTGTTCATATCCCTTATATAAGTGGCATAGTATTTGCATATAACGTATGTGCATTGTGCATCCTCCTGTTGTCATTTTGAGTAAAGGTTTCACTATATAGCTCAGACTGGCCTCAAACTTGCAATCCTTTTGCCTCTGCTTCCTGAGTGCTAGGATTAGAGGCACCTGTGACCATGCCCTGGTTCTTCTGTATATATAACTTAAACTCATCTCTAGAATACTTAGAATACCTAGTGCAGTAGGTAAGTGCCATGTAAATAATTTTTAATAGTTTAGGAAATAATGAAAAGAAGAAGTCCATACATTCAGTGCACCTGCACATATTTTTCCTGAATATATTTGATCTGGTGGTTAAATCCCCAGTTGTAAAATGTTCTGATATAGAGGACCAACTATAACTCTTCATGTAAACATTATGTCCTCTTAGATACATGTGTTTTTACTTAGAGTTACAACTGGGAACAAAAGAAAATTCAGGCATTAATAGTAACTATAGAAATAATACTAAATCTTCATTTAAACAATTTTGAAAGGATTTTAATAATTTCTGCTTAACAGCTGAATTGATCATTTAGATTGTCACATTTGCTCAGTTGTAGATCCATACAATTTTTTAAATTTGCAATTCTTAAAGTGTGAGTTTTGAGTGTGTGTGTGTGTGTGTGTGTGTGTGTGTGTAAAATGTGATTGCCCTTGGAAAAATATATTTAATCCATTGCCTTTGGAAAAGTGTATTTAATCCAGAGTTCTTTCTACATTGTACTGATACAGTTTAGTGCCAGTCTTCACGTGCATTATTAAGGCACACAATTAGATTTCAGCCCAGAAGTCACATTTGCAGAAAATCACTAAGTTGTCTTGTTAGTATCTAATTATCCCAGCACTGGGAAGGCTGAGGAAGGAGTATTTTGAGTTTGAGGTTAACCTGGGCTACTTAGCAAAAACCTGTTTTAAAAAAAAAAAACAAAAAAACCCAATTAGTACGTAGTGAAATAGTGCACAAGAAAAGGGAATCATATAAGTAGAAAATTTGAAAATATCCTGATATTTCCATTCTCCTTTATCCAAGTATGGTAGTAGGTAGACACAACCATAGATAAGAAATGTACTATATAACACATTTAAAGTTGGTAACAAGCTGGGGCTGGAGCTCAGTGCTATGTAGACTGCTTGTCTAGCATACATGAGGCCCTGGGTTTAGTGTTCACTGCCACCACAAGAGTAAAAAGATGGACACAGTTCACTTTATTCTCTACTTTTTGCTAGCTGGAGACCATCCCTTCCCCAGGTTGTTTTCTTATGTTTCTACTCTGCTTAGGTAAGACAGTGTGATTTTGCTCCATGTCTGGTCTTTTGAAACATTTTCTGTCATGTTGAAATAATACTACCTTGATAATGATGGGGTTGTCGACCCAAAGATGTCAGTGAACCTGATGACATTTTCCCATGCATGCCTTTTTTTTTTTTCCTCCATACAGGGACTTTGAAGTCAAGGCCTCTGCCTTGCTAAGCAGGCATTCTATCTGCCACTTGAGCTGTGACCCCCTCGCTGCCAACTGCTTTAGTTACTTTTTGAATAGTGTCTCTTATTTATGCCTGTGCTCACCTGGACTTTGAGCCTTCTATTTATGCTTCCCATTTAGCTGAGGTGACATTGTTGGCCACCATGCCCAGCTTTTTATTGGTCAAGATGCGGGGGGGGGGGGGGGGGGGGGAGTGGTCTCACTAACTTTTTGCCTAGGCTAGCCTCAGACCATGATCCTCACAATGTCTGCCTTCCTAGTAGTTGGGATTATAGGTGTGAGCCCTGGTTCTGACTTCCATGACCTTTTTAATAATTTGTTCTTTGAAACACTTTTTCCCTTTTCTTCTATGAAACCATATTGATTTTCTGTACCTCTAATCACAGTGGAGTCTTAATCACACACACATTTAACATGAAAATGTAGCCATACTTGCTTGGCTAAACAAAAGAGTAAGAAAAATACTTTTAAAGTTTGCATTATCAGGTGTGACTCATTGGTAGAGTGCTTGCCTAGCATGGTGAATGCCCTGGCTTTGATCTCTATCACTCTTGCTACTTAAAGTTTCTCCCTTCCAACTTTCTCATAAACCCACTTTATAGCCACTGCTTTCCCTGAACTATTCTTTCCTGTTGGTGTCACGTTGACTTCCACATTACAGATTTCAGTAATGAATTCACTGTCCTTAACTTGCTCCCTTCTCACTGACATTTGACATACTTGACTCCCCCCACTTGAAACATTTTCTTCACTTGCCATCTAGAACACTGCACCTTCCTGGTTGTCTTCCTTTACTACCCCTCATTCTCAGTCTCCTAAGGATTTCTGATTTACCCCTTAATTTAGGGGTGCCCCTACATTACACCTTAAGCTTCTTGTCTCTTCTGTCCACACCCACTTATAATTCCTTGAATTTATAGAGCTTTTTTTTTCCTTTTATTCATATGTGCATACAATGTTTGGGTCACTTCTCCCCCCTTCCCCCCACCCCCTCCTATAAAGCTTTAAATACTGTCTGTACCCACACGTGAATTTACAAATGTATGAATCTAATCCATACCTCCTTCTAACTTCAGATTCATATGTACAGATGCCTGTTGGTCATCACTACTAGAAAGTATAACTTAAATGTCCAAAATTAGCTTCTTGATTGTCCTTCCATTCTCCCCCAAAAAGTCCTGTACTTCTCATATTGTTTCCATCTTCACTAATGGCAACATCATCTTTCCAGTTGCTGAAGCTAAAATCCTTGGCTTTGTGCTGGTCTTTCTGTTTAATGTACCTACATCTAATCTGTAAGCAATTATTTTGTCTTTGTCTTTGAAATTTATCAATAAACAGGCTACTTGTCATCACCTCCACTATTAATCACTCTCTTCCTAACCATCCTCATCTCTTACTTGTATTAGAACAATGATCTCCTGCTTTTTTCATGCTCCCCTTCAGTGTGTTCTTAGCATCACCGTGAGAATGACTTTAAAAGACTTAGATCATAACACCTTTCTACTCAGACTCCAGTGGTTTTCCCAACGCTTCCTCACAATTAAAAGCTAGGGGGTTTGGGGTTTGTGTGTGTGTGTGTGTGTGTCTGTGGGGGGGATGGTACTGGGGTTTGAACTCAGGGCCTCACACTAGACAGGTGCTCTACCATTTGTGCCACTCTACCAGCCCTGTTTTGTGTCATATATTTTCGAGATAGGATCTCGTGAACTATTTGTCCAAGGCTGGCTTCGAACTGTGATCCTCCTGATAACTACCTTCTGAGTAACTAAGATTATAGGTGTGAGCCACTGGTACCCAGCAGAGCTAAAGTTTTTAAAGCAGCAAACAAGGCACTGCGTGTCCATTCTTCTGAATCTTTCCTCACTGCCTCAGAGCCTTCACAATCCTTTACCTGAATGGTTTCTTCCCCAAAATCCATTTCTGATTACTTTACATCTTAAAAGTCATCACCATAGGCCTGCCTTGACTGCTTTATCACAATTACTGTTTTGAAATTTGTTTCTCACAGTTCTGGAACTCTGAGATGAGGGTGCCACCATGGCTAGGTTCTGAGAGGTCCCTTTCCAAGTTGCAGACTACTTTCTCATCTTCACATGGTAGAGAGGTCTTTTACTACTTTTTCAATGTTTGATTTTGGAAGTTTTCAAAAATACCCAAAAAGTAAAGAACTACCATACTAATGCCATTCCTGGTAATGAGTCCTTAATACCTAATATCCACTCCATGTTTAGATGTCCCCAGTTAATTCCAAATGACTTTTTATCATTGTTTTTTTCTAGTCAGTGTTCTATTTGACTGATCTCCAACATAGGCAACATAACAAGACCCCATCTCAAAACAAAAAGATTCTTATGCTTTGCTGCTACTCAAGCCTGTCACTATGGTCTGATGGTAATATATTAAGGGTTTTGGCATGGCCTGGCAGTTTGAAAATTGGTTCCAAATGGCCCATGTTCTCTATGTACAAGTAATAACTTAGCTTCTTTGCTTAGGGGAAAAAAAAAGAAAAAAACCACTTATTTAAGAATGCAGGCATTTTTGTCCATTTTAACAAAGTACTACATAAAATAAGAATCAGAACTTTAGATCCAGGAATAGCCCTGGACCTATTTCTTCAAATTTTTCTTTCATTGATATGTTTATCCCTATTTTTTGTCTTTCTCTGCAGGCCCCAGCTGTTGAAGAATGCTCTACAGAGAGCAGTAGAAAGAGGCCAGTTAGAACAAATAACTGGCAAAGGTGCTTCGGGGACATTCCAGGTTAGAAGCCAAAGGCTTGGATATAGACAAGTAGTTCTCTTAAATTTGGGCTTGGATGTAGACAAGTGGTTCTCTTAAGTTTTGGGTTTGGATTTATAGAGATCCCCCAAAGGGTTTTTGTTTATATGGGTCATACTTATTGGTATTTACTATATCAGAAATTAAAGCACAGCCAGGCATGGTGGCACACCTGTAATCCCAGCATTCAGGAAGCTGAGGCAGGAGGTTCTCAAGTTTGAGGCCAACTTGGGATACATAGTGAGTTTCAGACCAACTTGGTCTACATAGTAAGACCGTGTCTCAAAAATAAATTAAAACCAAGGACAATTTTAAACATTTGTTAATTCACTTAAAAATAACAATAGTAAATCCATTACATGTTAAGATAAATAATCCATTTTTCATGAAAAAAAGTTTGTTAGGAGGAGCCCTTAAAAGTCTAGTTTTAATAGACAGCTGGTTTCTGTTCTAGTATATCTTGGTTTTATGAAAAAAATCCATCCTTACATAGAAATACAGTTAGGAAAAGGTAGGATATTTTAAGATAACTTTCAGATAGTTGTGAATATTCCTTGATACTACACCAAAACTCAGTAAGTGACAGGTTATTTATTTTAGCAGCTTTATTATGTATAATTTATGTATCAAGACACAATTAAAGTTAAGATTTATAATTCAGTGAATTTTAGTATATTTGCCATGGTATAATTATAACCGTAGTGCAATTTTAGAATATATTGCACTGCCCCCAAAAGATTCCTTGTACCCATTTGCAGTCACTCATCATTCCCACTTAGCCTCATGCAACCTGCTAGGTCTGTTTTCTGTCTGTATGTAGATGTGCCTTTTCTGCACTTGAATATAGGTATAATCATTCATTATGTGGTCTTTTGTGTTTGGCTTCTTTCACTTGGAATAATGTTTTTGGGATTTTCTGTGTTTTAACGTATATCTGTACTTCCATTATTTTTTATTGCCAAATTAGTATTCCACTGTATGAATCCAGCACATTTTGTTCATCCATTCATGAGTTGATGGATATTTGGATTATTTCTACTTTTTAGCTAATTATGTATACTGCCTGTGACACGTTGTGAAGTTGTATGTTTTTATTACATTGGGATATGTAACTAGGAGTGGACTTGTTGGCTGCATGGTAAATTTATGTTTTAAGAAACTGGCAGTTGGGCTGGTGGAGTATCTCAAGTAGTAAAATGCCTGCCCCACAAGTATGAAGCCCTGAGTTCAAACCCTAGTACTGCTGTACCATTTTACATTCCTATGACAGCAGTGTATAAGGTTTCCAGTTTCTTTACATCCTTGCCAGATTTTATTAGGTCTCTTTTTTATTGTAGCCGTACTAGTGAATATGAAGTGGGTTTTTAATCATTTGATTGGCATTTCCCTAATGATCACCGATGCATCTTTTCATATGCTTAGTGGCCATTTGTTTTCTTTGGTAAAATGTCTGTTCAGATCTTTTGGTTCATCTTTTGGGCTATTATGAGTTCTTTATTCTAGACTAAAGTCTCTCATCAGATGCATGACTTGCAAATGTTTTCTACTATTCTGTGTTTTGGATTTTTTTTTTTTAAGTAGTTTTAGGGCTTCAGCTCAACTCAGACCATCTTAAATTATTAGAAATGATTGATTTTATGATGCAGCCTGTTTAAACTTAGATTTTAAATTCAGTGCACATATTAATGAAAAAAATCCGGTCCACAAGACATCTTTTTTCCACTTGAGAATTTGTGTCAGGAGCAGCCACTGTAGTAACCTCAGATCTAGGTTGACACATGCTCCACTTCTGAGTTGCACATCCTCTCCCAGCCTGATTTGTTTCAGTTTCTTCAGGTATTATTTTCACTACCTCGACCTGTGTTCACATACACAAGAACATGTCTGGCAAAAGTCTGAAGTGGAAGGTGCAGCAATAGGAAATTTTGTACTGTGAGACTTCTTTTACTGTGGCCTTGAGTACACTGCAAGTTTGTCTGGATCAGAACTTCCTAAGGAGGCACTGAGAAGTTTCACATTTTCTGAGTTCTGGTGGGCATATTTAAAAACTGTTGCTTTAACCAACTGGTTCTCTCTTCAGTTACCTTTCTGTCCAATCCTAGATGAATAGCTGCTTCTATAAAGCTTTGTCTTCTTGAAATTCTGTTTTTGTGGCTGGAGATGTAGTTCAGGGGTTGTTTCCCTAGCATGCATAAAGTCCTGGGTTCGTTCCTCGTACCACAAAAAATAATAGTAATAATATTTCTTTTTTTACTCTTTAAAGAGACCATTCTTCTTTGACCCCTTTTCTTGCAACAGTGCTGGATTTCTAACTCCAGTTTCTCGTTCATGGTCTTAGGTCCTGAGATTATATCTTCATCATTAAAACCTTCTAAATTTACCACTGAAACTTGATTATTGGGCTGGTGGAGTGCCTGAAGCAGTTAAGAGTGCCTGCCTAGCAAGTGTGAGGCTCACACACTTGGGGGTGTCAAACCCCAGTGCCACCCAAAAAAAAAAAAAAGAAACTTGGTTATAAAGTTTTTCTACATGACTTTTTAAATGTCTCTACTGTTTTCTGATACTATTTGTAAGCTGTTCTGTCACGGGAAAGATTCCCACATTCTCTGCATCTTCATCAGTATTATCATCTGTGCCTTCTGTTTCTTTTCTTGGGTAGAAAGAAGAAAAATCATTTCCTTTTTCATTTGCTGAAGAACTTTATGGTCAGTGTTCCCATTAGGATTTGTTTCTGACAATATTTTTGATCATTCAAAAGAATTTTGTACATTTCATCTTCTTTCCTGGCCTCTGTTTTATCAGCTCTGCAGGAGCCTCTTTTTCTATCAGTTTTCCCCACATAATTTTAAATATCCATGGCTTTTTGGTTTTGATCAGTACTGGGGTTTGAAGTCAGGGGCTTGTACTTGTTAGCTAGGTAGGCCCTCTACCACTTGAGCCACACCCCCAGCCCTTATGACTTTATATTCATGCTCTTTTCTCTTCATATATTGTAATTATATTCAGTAGCTTGACTTGCAGTGATATTTTGTACTGATCTCAGTTTTCTATATCAGGGAACTTTGTTCTTGTACTCTTTTACCTTGAAAATCATTGGTCTGTCTTGAATTTTTGAATGGATCTTTTAACCACCCATAGTAATGTAAAACAATGCCTTGAGAGGTTGAATATTTCCAGACACGATAGCACAGGTCTGTATCCTGGTACTCAGAAAGCTGAAGCAAGAGGATTTCAAGTTTAAGGCCAGCCTGGGCTACATAGTGAGACCCTGTCTCAAAAAACAAAAAGAAAGAAAAGATTGAGTTTTCCCATTGGCAATAAATATTGCTGTTTTTCTTGAAGCACCAGGCTAACTTAATTCATTTTTTTCTCTGAAGTGCTAGGGTTTGAACTCAGGGCCTTGAACTTCCTGGCAGGCACTCTATCTAGGCAGGCACTTGACTGTAGTTGGGATGACAGATGCATACCACCATGCCCAGCTTTTTATTGATTGAGATGGGGTCTCATGAACTTTTTGCCCAGGCCAGTGTCAAACTGCAATCTCCCTGATCTTTGCCTCCCAAGTAGCTAGGATTACAGACATAAGCCACCATGGCCAGCGAATTTGTTTTCAAGATACTGTATATCCCATCCCTAAGTCTGAATGACTAGTTTATAAGTCACTTGTTTCTTCATGTGTAAAGGTTAATCCATAAAAAATACCACGAGTTTAGCTCACAACTCAATCACAGAGGCCACAGCATACATACTTCCATATGTGGCAGATATGCTTTATACATTCTTTTTGTTGCATCCCATAAACTACTAAGAAGACAACCACTTGGGTTGAAATTTAAATCAAGTAATTGTTTCTATGTCATCAAAGGTATTCCTAAGTGAAAGTGGCACTTTTTTTTTTTTTAAGCCATGTGTATCTTGAGATGACAATAACCACATGGGTTGGGTTTTTTTTGGTTTTTGTTTTTTAATTTGTTTGTTTTTTTGTAGTACTGGGGTTTGAACTCTGGACTATATGCTTGCCAAGCAGGTGCTCTACCATTTCAGCTATTCCTCTACCACCACCACCCCCAACTTGAACATTTTTGTGTTGCCACCTTGATTTGTGGTAAGGTGGCAGCAGTTTTGCTGACTTGCTTTTTTGTCATCAGTGAAAATATCAACACAGTAAAAATACAGCTCATGTATTGTTTTGTTAAGAAAATACTGTTGACCTAAAAAGTCTCAGAACCTCTAGAGATTTATGGAGCACTCTTCAAGAACTAGCATTGTAGAACATTCATAATGTTCTTTGCCCATTTTGCTTATTGGTGCTAATCTTTATTTCCCATTTTTCAGCATTGAAACATGCTATGTACTTTTCTATTTTATCAAAATTTTCCTTGGCGCGGGATAATGTAAGAATATGGTTATTTTTTCTGTAGAATTAAAAAGCCTTATTAATCGTAACTTACTCATTTTTCAGATTCAGAAAAAGGAAGTACATTTTAAAAAGTCTAAATTTATTGAGGCATAACAATTTAGCTTCTTTATTGGGGTATAGCTGTCAGTATCTTTGCATTAGGTTACTTACTGCTATTTTAGAGTGGGTGGAGGGACAGAAGAAAATAACTCCATGAGGGTTGGGACTCCTCAGTTAGATTGAGTACCTGGTGAATGGGAAGAGAAAGTCCCTTACCTGACAATTTACTGTAAAACATATCTGTGCTAATGCAGGAACTCCGACCCACCTGGTGCAGAGGAGTCTTATCTTGACCTGCTTTGGGAGAGTGTTGTCTTGATGCTTTTCTCTTCCTCCTTGGAAAACAGCTGAAGAAGTCAGGGGAGAAGCCCCTGCTTGGTGGAAGCCTGATGGAATATGCAATCTTATCTGCCATTGCTGCCATGAATGAGCCGAAGACCTGCTCCACAACTGCTCTGAAGAAGTATGTCCTAGAGAACCACCCAGGGACCAATTCTAACTATCAAAGTAAGAGTCATTTAACTGAAATTAGGGGAATTTTCTTATGGGGGAAAAAAACCCTAGTGATCATGCTACTAATGTCAAAACATTGACTCTAAATACCAGAGGGAATGACTTAACAAATTTATTATTTACAAAAAGAACCACAGATGAGATCAAAGGCTTTTCTTGTGCTGTTTTTTGTTTGTTTGTTTTGAGACAGAGGTCTTACTATGTAGCCCATGCTGACCTCCAATTCACAATCCTGCTTCCTTAGCATCCCTGGTGCTAAGATTATAAGTTTGCACACCACACGTGGCTAAGGCTTATCTGTAATTTACAGTGACTGCTGATCAGAAATTGGTTTTACTTTGCTGTAAAGTTTCTCTCTAATACTTATTATTATTTATTTGTTTTTGGCGGCACTAGAGTTTGAACTCTGCCTCATGCTTGCTAAGCAGGTGCTCTACTACTTGAGCCACTCCATCAGCCCTTTTTTGGGTTGGGTATTTTTCAAGATAGGGTCTTGTGAACAGTTTGTTTGGGACTGACTTTGAACCACGTTCTTCCTGATCTCTGCCTTCTGTGTAGCTAGGATTATGGGTGTGAGCCATTGGCACCCAGCTTAATACTTATTTTATTGTAATTTAGATTAATCTCTTAAATTCAAACAAAATACCTTTCAATTATATTTTTACCTAGTTACAAATTTGTACCAAGACATAATTTCACCTTGAAACCAAGCCAGAGTTTTAGAATACTTATTGTTTATATGATTTCTTATTGACTTAAGCCCAGATTTTGTCTCAGTTTATTTATCCTAGAAGGTAGTAGTTTGAGATTAGAGACTACTCTGTAATTAGACACTTAGCATTTTTACATATACTGTAAAGATTAGTAAGATTGGGCAACTTGTCAGCAAACTACTAGAATGGGCACAAGGATGTAGGGTGAAGAATATGGAAATTAAGTAGCAGAAAATGTAAAACAGAATGTTTTATTTAAGTAATTTGGGCCAGGCGTGGTGGTATATGCTTGTAGTCCCAGCTGCTTCAGAGGATTGTTTAAGGCCAGACTAGGCAACATAGCAAGATCTCATCTCAAAAAAAGAAAAGTAATTTTGAAGTCTTATTAATGACTTTTTTGTTTGCTTTTGCACCAACATGCTCAGCTTGCAGCTGTGTTTTGTACATTGTATCATTAATATATATTTGTGTGTGTGTGTATACATATGTATACATAATATATATATATAGTATACTGTACTATCATATAGTATGTTTTTGTAAGATGAGAATTGATACAGACTTTCAAGAGCCATGATTTTGTTTTGTTACTGTTTTCTGATTTATGAGGAATTATTCTGTTAGGTTTATAGATAATTCTCCTAGACGATTATTAATTCCTATAGGTACAAAATTGAATGAATAGAAATAATAAATACTTAGTTTTGGATCTGCTATTAACCATTTACATGCTACCTTAGGACAAGTCACTTAACCATTTTGGGCTCTAGTTCCTTTTCTGTGAAACGAGGAATTTCAGTTGTCTCTTGTGTCTCTTTTCACTATAATTTAACTCTTGCCAAGTTTATGGGCACTAAATAAATGTTTACTGTTACCTTTGATCACAGGGAATTCACTTAGCACGCCAATTACTGTGTGATACTACATTGAATTGATGGACATCTAATTGTGGCTGAGAGAATTATCAGATCTTAATAACTAGATAACTTTCTTCACTCTTAAATTTTTTTGTTCAGTGCATTTGCTGAAGAAAACTTTGCAGAAGTGCGAAAAGAATGGGTGGATGGAGCAGATCTCTGGTAAGGGATTCAGTGGCACCTTCCAGCTCTGTTTTCCCTATTACCCCAGGTGAGCACTTCCTGTGAAGCCTTCGGCCATTGCCACTTGAAACTGATTCTAGGTTACAGGCCTGGTTTAATGTATCTCACCCTTAATACCAGTTAGACTAAACTGGAAAAGACTACCTGAGGCAGTATTGTTTTGGAGCAAAAGGTTCTCACATAAAAATGGGATTTCGATTGTCCTGTTAGAGCTTATTGATTTGCCAACTGTTACTGAATTCAGGCAACAGATTCTTTGAGATCCTTTGATGGTCATTTTGATGTACATTCATTCTTTATCTTTTTAAATGATAATGACAGGAAGATTATCTAGGAATTACATGTATTTAAATGTCCATTACAAGTGAGGAAAACATTTGACTGCTTCTAAGAATCCTAAATCTACATCATATTGTAGAGACAGGATATTTATTTGAAAACCTGTCTCTTGTGCATGCATCATTTGATTATTGAAAAAAATCCACCTTGAGCTATGGGTCATGCATGGTTCTATGCACTGGGGCTTTAGCCTTCTTAGGGTCTCAGTTCTAGTAATGTGGCATGGTGTGTACCTCTGAGACCCTGTTTTACAACACTGCAGTGTAACTTACTTGCAGTCTTCCCTGTGTGACCATAAATGTTACTTGATGAAATGCATATTATTTAAATTTTTCAAACAGCAAACATTAAGTATAATATTTAAAAATTTACAACTTAAGGACATATTAATCAAAGGAGTCAAGAGTTCTACCATAAAGGGCAAAGAAGAGTTAGAGAATCCTTGCTGAATTTCTCTCATATTTTGAAGGCACCTAGGTTTTTGAGATCTTTTGCCAGGATTTTGAAAGCAAAATTCTGTACCACTACAGATTCACTGCCTTATCAGCCATTCATTACTGTGTTCTCATTGGTTGATACAGTTCTAGTTATATCAGGAGTTTACTAAATGCTTACTAGATGAATGGATCAGTTTTATTAAATGGTGGGAGGAAGGGAGTAAGACCTAGTCTGGGACTTTTATATGTTTGTGGTAACTTTGTGTATGTGTTCAAAATAGGTTAAATTGTAACCTGATATTTGTAACCTACCTTAGCATTTTTGAGGGAGTATGGACAGAAGTGTGAAATGTCCAGGGAAGAACATCTAGGTTCACATTATTTTCCCTCTTCTATATGGGACTTCTGTTTTATCTGTCTTTTCTTTCTTTCCCCCTTTCTTAGCCCAGGAGTTCTATTTCCAAAGAAAGAGCCAGATGGTTCTGAGGATGAGGATGAGGATGAAGATGAGGATGAGTCATCAGAAGAAGACTCTGAGGATGAGGAGCCTCCACCTAAGAGAAGGTGTGGATGTGTGAAGAATCCTTGTTGTGGCAGGACAGTAAAATTTGAGAGCTAAAAATGGTACTAATAAGAGGGGTGGAGGTAGAAAAATGTTTAACCACTCAGGATCCTTCTCTGATTCTTTGTCTTTTCCCTTAAAAATTCAGGGCGCTGGGCACCAGTGGCTCACACCTGTTATCCTAGCTACTCAGCAGGCAGAGATCAAGAGGATCACAGATCAAAACCAGCCCGGGCAAATAGTTTGCAAGATCCTATCTCAAAAAAGCCCATCACAAAAAAGGGCTAGTGGAGTGGCTCAAGGTGTAGGCCCTGAGTTCAAATCCCAGTACCGCAAAAAAAAATTTTTTTTTCAGGGACTCTAAACTTCAAGCAATGTACTCATTGGTTAACCTGTATACACCATAGTTTATTCAGAGAAAAATAATTCCATATTTTCCTAGGGAAAATGTCATATAATTATGTATAGAATTCCATGAGTTGATTGAATTTTTATACTGTTTTAGTAAAGTCTGTAGTGAAAAATCAAGTCACATTCGTATTTTTAACATAGTGACTTCTACCTCTGCTATTTCTCTTTAGGCAAAGCATCTGGTTGTCTTGGTAATGTGAATGTCTCCTGTGCTGACTGCCTTTGCTCTTTTGTTCTTCCAGGTTGCAGAAGAAAACACCAGCCAAGTCCCCAGGGAAGGCTGTATCTATGAAGCAGAGAGGGTCCAAGCCTGCACCTAAAGTCCCAGCTGCTCCACGCGGGAAAGCTAGACCTCTGCCCAAGAAAACACCTGCTAAGGCCAAAACTCCTGCCAAGAAAGCCAGACCCTCACCCTCAGTTATCAAGAAACCTAGTGGGAGCTCCTCAAAAAAGCCTACAGCCAATGTAAGAAAGGAAGTAAAATTGCCTGGCAAGGGCAAATCTACCATGAAGAAGTCTTTCAAGGCAAAAAAGTAAATTTTATAGGAAAAAGTATCATGATGAAATTCAAAATCTAAATATTTTATAAGGTCAGTGTGCATTTGTTTTAGTTTTGATGCTTTTAAAATTACTTTTGTCTCCCTCCCCTGTGAACATTGTGGGGAGGGAATATAAACCAGTTTAGGCATTTGTTAGCTTTAGGTGCTGTTCTTGGTGCCTGCCCTTTCCCTTAGTCATTTTAATTTCTGCAATAATCCTGGACTTTCTAAACTATGTAATCTTTACTTGTCCTTCTTTGCTGGTCCTTTTTTTTTTTTTTTTTTTTTTACGGTCTGACTTGGTGTTTTGTTTTGTTTTTCCTTTCCAGTTTTATCTAAACAGTTGCAAAGATTTTTATATTTGTAGAAAGCATCAAGAACAAGATGCTGGTCAGGTGCTGAAAGTAAAAGGCAGGCAGCACTGACTGAATTGCAAAGCCTGCCTAGAGACATCAGTTGTAGCTATAGTAATTAATCCTATTTATAAAAATCACTCCACTAACCGTTTCTCTCCAACTATAACAGAGACATCTTAGTTTTGGAAAATAGCCCCAAACAGGGTGATGTCATTAGATTCTGAAGCTTCTCAACTTCTTTGGGCCACATCTCACTTAGATGAATTTCCAGGCATTGTCCACTGGCCAGAGCATGGCATTCCCTTAGCAGCAAGCACAAGTTCTCTACACCACTTGCTTTTTGACTGAAGGGGAAGTATAGGAATATATCGAATCTGATTTCTGGTGTTACTTAGGTTACCAAAAGTCAAAACATACAAAATCTCCTTGATCAAATGTTAAAATATATTTTTTAATATTTGGAGCATGAGTTACCACTTCCTGATTGCCTTTTTTTTTATAAGGAATTGTAGGAGAATTACATCATTGCTAATGCAGAAATGTTAAGTGGAAAAACATACAATTCACTAATATAAACTAGATTTCAGATTCATCTGTGGGTCGTCGTCCCCCCTTCCATGGCACTTTTGATATCAAGTAAGTGTCTTCCTTTTTGAAATAGTAAAAAGAAAAGGAAAAAAAAAAAAGCAAATGAAGCCCTACTACCTAACCCTTTTTAATTTGTATTTTGTTTTAGTATTGTGAAGTTGTGTTAAATAGCACTAGCTTTCTACTTGAGAAATACCAGTTTCTGGTTATCATTTATCTTCCCCGTGGCACTTGACATTTTAATTGTCTTAAACTTTCTGGTGTGCATCTTCTGGCCCCTCTAGTGCTGCCAGAGCAAAAGTGTTGTTTTATATTCATTCCACTCGCACTGTCTCCTGGGATCTCTTCTGCAGCTTCAGTGTGTCTGGGATATGGACTTGAGAAAGTGACTTGGATTCGATCATAATCATGTGTGGTCCCATCATGAGCTCATTGGAATTGGTGTTGCATGTAGGCAATCTTTCCTGTTGTAAATCTTCCTTTTTTTATGTACATATATTTTGAAAAATATGAATAAACATGAAGTTTTAAAAGCTGCTGAGCTGTAGCTGTTATTTAAGTTTTCACTGTAGCCTCAAAAGTATTTGGTATTGCCCTCACTCTTAAGTCTTTTCTACTCCTGGCAGTGAACATCAGTACTTTCATTTTTAATTGCCAGCTCCAGTTTATTTGCTTCCTTGTATTAATAGTAAGTGATGTTTCTAGAGTTGTCATTCAGTGATTCAAAGTTTAAAGGATCATTTTATATTAAGGGTTATTTTCATGATCATGTCAGTCCAGTCTTCTGTGTTCAGTGTTCAGATAAATCCTCAGACTGGGAAAATATGACAGCTCTGCAAAGGTTGACAGAGAAACCCTAGAGACCTAATTCTAAAAAGCAGTTCTGATTTCTTTTGCCTATTTGGCAAGTAATGGTTCTTTATACTATAGGTGCTTGGTACTGGTACTAACAGTTACCTGCTTTTCTGTTATCAAAAGTAGTTGGAATGTTTTGATTTCTTTGTTTTATAAAACAAAGAAACAAAGTGCTTTTAAAAAAGACTTACTGAGCCAGGTATGGTGCACGTCTGTAATCCTAGTACTTGGGAAGCAGAGGCAGGAGGATTGTGAGTTTCAGGTCAGCCTGGACTACAGTAGTGAGTTCAAAGCTAGTCTGGGTTATATAGCCCAATGAGATCCTGCCTCAAAAAAATAAAAAACAGGCCAGGTTCGGTGCTCATGCCTATAATCCTAACTACTCAAAAGGCAGAGATTAAGAGGATCACATTTCAAGGCAAGCCCTGAACAAACTGTTCTAGAGACCCTATCTCAAAAACACACATCACAAAAAAAGGGCTGGTGGAGTGGCTCAAGTTGATCAAGTGTCTGCCTAACAAGTATGAGTCCTGAGTTCAAACTCCAGTGCTGCCAAATAAAAAAAGGTTAACTGAATAATTAAATAATTAGCTGGTGGCTCTTTCATATACCAGGCATAGGGTGAGAAGTTTAGATCATTTTAATGTCCCTTCTAAGACATTCTATTAACCACAAAATTCAGATTAGGACAGTTTGTTTTAATATCATGGAAAGGGGGCTCGACATCATGTCTGGACTTGACAGTGAAAAACCCCAGCTATTAAAGACACAAACTTTCCTTGCATTGAGGTACAGGAATGTTTGATTTTTCTCTTGCAGGTATGCTGAAGTAGAACACATTTATAATTTTTTACTTCTGTATTACAGAAAGGGGAGCAGCAAACCCAAGAGATAATCCCAGCAATTCCTGGGGTCAGGGTGCGTCCTTGTCAGTGGTGTAGTGAGTTCATTGAGCATTTCTTGTACTGTGAGACATGAACCTCGGCAGGTGCTGGGAGAAACACGGTTGGCTCCTTGACCTGCAGAAAGAGAAAGAAAAGATAACTGTGGCTGAGAAACATGCATACCTTTCTGCAGTAATGTCAAAGGAGGCCTAAAAAGACACTTTCACAAGCCTGTTATATTGGGTCTATGGCGAGGCAGAACTTGGGAGTATGAGGCAGCTGGGAAATGAAAGAGGAATAGGGCTGGGGTCCCAATATCCTCTTCCAGGGCATGCCCCTAGTAACTCCCACAAGGTCCCACCTCTTCAAGGTTCTGCCACCTCCCAGTAGCACCACAGGCTACTGGGTAACACATGGTCCTTTGGGGAATGTGTACTCAAATCATAGCATTTAACATACTAGTGATAATAGCTGACATTCATTGAGCTTCTAAACATTCAAGTTCTGTGCATATATTATCACATTTAATCCCAGCAATCCCATGATCATTGTTTATTACCCCCATTTTACAGAAGGGAAAACAGGTCTGTGATGTGCCCCAGGTCTTAGAAAATGGCAAAGCCAGAATTACAACCCAGGCACTCCAAACACAGCCATCTTGATTGCCTCCCTTTGGCATCTTTTTAAGCCCTGTAGCCCAGTGACTTATATTCTACACACGGAAGAGAAAGGACTGTGTACAGTTGCAGAGGACTGGGGAGTGAGATTATTATGTCATTTGCTAATAATTATCATGCTTTAAAGTTTGAAAACTGTCAAAATTAGAACATACTAGGAAATGTTATCTAAGGGGCCCTAAGGTTTTTATAGGACAAGTACTTGGTAGTTCTCAAATCCTTGCCCTGAAACACTGTCTGGTTTCCTCACAGATGGTATACTCCAGCAGAGTTGTCATTCTGTGACTTCTTCCAGTCCAGAGTGCTGATGCTAGTGAACTTTCCCACAGCACCATGGCATCTGTCAGAACTGTGGCGGAAGTGAGTGGCTTTCTTACTGTCTGTAAACACACTGAGCTTAACGTTCCATGAAGCCCACCAAGAGAAGGGCCAGAATGGGAATTTCCCATCCAGCTGGATGTTTCAGACATGACACCTGCTTAGTAATCATGAGCTGCAGCATTAGGAATTCTGGCTCTGGCTCTCCTGCAGGAATCCTCTGTCATCAGTCTCCTGCTGACTTTGCTCCCTTTCCTGAAGCCAGCAGATCCAAGTCATTTCCCGGCAGCCTGGCTCATCCAGGCACTGTTCATGAACTGCTCTAATGAAATCCTTCTGCCAACCCCAGATCCCTTATGTCTTCTTTGTGTAACTCAAACTTGCTGATACTGTATATAGAATAAGAAATTTTTACCAATTCCAAATTGATCTTGTCTGGAGGAACCACCCAGTCCAACAATGCAGCATCAGAAGCTGTGGCCCTGCGGTGTTCTTCCAGGACTGGGTCACTCACCAACTGTGTGATATTGGGCACCCACTCAGTCTCCTTGAGCCTTGACATTCTCGTGTAAAACAGTAGGCTCCAAATGCACAGGGCTGTCATTTCAGAATAACCACCATGAAGCAACATGAGGGCCTCAGTATCGGAAAACTGAACTAGTTTCACTATGGTGTGGTTACTAGTGCTTCTCAACATTTGGAGAAATAGGTGGGTTTTGCTTTTGTTTTTGCAATTCTGGGGTCAGACCTGGGCTTTATGCATTCTAGGCAAGCACTCCTACTGAGCCCAGCCCAAGACAGAGTTTTGTTTTGTTTTAAAAGAGCCACACCATCCAGTTTTACAAGGGTGGAACTTGTTGTTCAAACAATCGTTCGTTATAGTGTCTTAAAAATCAGCTCTTAGATTCTCACAGATGTATTCTCAAAGGGATATGAAACTGTTCCCAATTTCAGGTGCAAGTAAGTTTAGTAGCTGCTTTCCCCCAAATTAAGCACATATAATAAATGACAGTTAGACAAACCCAGGCTTGACTACATCACCATCACTCACCCTTTCTCCAGGCCCCGCTAACTTAGTGGTTCCATATGCTGATAGGTTAGGCAGCAAAGCCTCTGGCCACGTACACAAGGGTCATTCGGAAGATTAACATACCGTGATTAGCAGGTTTTAAAGTCAGGGATTTTTGTTTAATTGTTGGTATTCTGGTTTGAACTCTGGTACTTGTGCTTGGTAGTTACCCTACCCACTTGAGCCATGCTCCCAGCCCATATTGCTTTCCAGTAGGGTCTTGGCACTTTGTCCAGGCTTGCCTAGACTATAAATCCTCTTATTTATACCTCGAGTGTAACATATATATATATATATATATATATATATATATATATATATATATATATATATTCTATGTATATATATATATATGTATATATATATATAGAATACTATACTATCATATAGTATGTTTTTGATTTGTTTTTGTAAGATGAGAATTGATAAGGACTTTCAAGAGCCATGATTTTGTTTTGTTACTGTTTTCTGATTTATGAGGAAGTATTCTGTTATCTTTATAGATAATTCTCCTAGATGATTATTCCTATAGGTACAAGATAGATTCTTGAATGAATAGAAATAAAATACTTAGTTTTGGATCTGCTATTAACCACTTACGTGTTATCTTAGGACAAGTCATTTAACCACTTTGGGCTCTAGTCCTTTTCTGTGAAACAAGGAATTTGACTCAGTTGTTTCTAATGTCTCTTTTCACTATAATTTAACTCTTGCCAAGTTAAATGATGACAGGTGAGTACCATCACACCCTGCTTATTGGTTGAGATGGGATCCCTCTAACTGTTTGCCTGGGCTGGCTCCAAACTGCGGTCTTCGCAATCTCTGCCTCCCAAGTAGCTGGGATTACAGGTATGAGCCACCTCACCCTGCCTAAAGTCAGATTATTTTTAACTACTAGGAATTTGCCTGTTAAAAGATGAGGAAGAAAAAAGGTATACAGCCTTAAGTTAAAAGAACCAAGGAGCCCAGTAAGACACCATCTCACATCAGTTAGAATATAGTGAGTCAGCCAGGTGCCGGTGGCCCACGCCTATAATCTTAGCTATTCAGAAGGCAGAGATCAGGAGGACCAAAGTTTGAAGCCAAGCCCAGGCAAATAGTTCATGAGACCCTATCAAAAAAAAAAAAAATCACAAAAAAGGCTAGTGGAGTGGCTCAAGGCATAGGGCCTGAGTTCAAACCCCAATACTGGAAAAAAAAAAAAATTAAAAGGAAAAAAGTAAGGTCTGGCAAGGAGAAGTCATATACACTCACCAAGAGTGTATATGACTACACTCAAACTACAGGAAACTCCTCAAAAACATCTACTAGGAGTACATTCAAAGGAGTCAAAGAATACCTGCACTCAGGTCCACTGCAGTGGAATTCACAATATCCAAGTCAACTGAAGTGACTATTGATGGACGGATAAAGAAAAAGTGATACATGATAGAGTACTCAGCCATAAATAGAATAAAATCCTCACACCTGTAGTCCCAGCTACTTGGGAAGCAGAGATCAGGAGGACAGTGACTCAAGGCCAAATGTTAGCGAGACCCCATCTCAACTTGTAAGCTGGATGTAGAATGCACCTATGACCCCTAGCTATGCAGGAGGCAGGAGGCATAGGTAGAAGGATTGCAGTCCCAGGCCAGCCTGGGTGAAAAGTGAAACCCTGTCTGAAAAATAATGTAAACAAATAGAAGAGTGGCTCAAGCAGTAGAGCACCTGCCCAGCAAGTACAAGGCCCTGAG